ATATGAAACAAAATCCTCTCACATTACAGAAAGATGCAGTGTATAATTCTGCAAGGCCTTTATTTAAAGATAATCAATCAAAATCAACATGTTCAGAGCTTAGTACAGTGTGATTATTAGACCAGTTGCCTATTAAGTGCAAAGTTTAGTTATTCCAAAGATGTTCTGCAGGTATAATAGGTTCAGATATATCTATGATCAGAAGGTCATGGGATGATGATGATGATCAGAAGAGATCAGAGGATCAGATGCCCCCAGAAATTCACACCTTAATTTTTAGCTTGAGTACCAAATTCTATATGTAGGGGGAAAAAAGATTATAGGTTAAAAATATGAAAAAGTTCCTGAGAAAATATAGAAGATTCTCACACAAGATTTATACCAGCAATTTACAGTGACATCCTAAGCAGGACTATACCCTTCTAAGTCTAATTGAAACTAAATGTTTCCAGAGCCTTAGTCAAAGAAGGAATCTCCAGGAAGTGAAAGGGCCTCTGGACATCCAAGGAGTCTGTGTGTGACTTTTCATTTATGTCTCAAGTCATCACAAATATTATTCTAAATTCCTCAGTACTCAAAATACCAACATGCATAGCTCACATTGGTCAGATGTGTACCAGCTGAATGGACCCTCTTTCAGCACCTTCTGTGCCTACACCTACATCTTCTATACCTACTAGTGTAACATGATACTCTGCACAGAATGAGCTGTTTTGGCCAGTGCAGGCCAATGACAGCTCAAATAAGGCAAACTTCTCCCATAGGTGCTTTGTCATGTTTTGGGAAACTCTGGGGGAACTCCAGAGCTGTGAAGGGGGGGGGGAACTGTGGTATCCCTGGCATTCTTGAACAATCTCCAGGAAGCTTCCAAACCCAGCTAAGTTGTTATACAGAGGCTTCATAAAGTATTCTCTTTCCACTTGCTAGTTTTTTATCATCTTGAAGATTTAAGTTCATGATGTGAAGGGAAACATTTCCTCCCACTTCAATGGGAAATTAAATTGCCAATGTTACCAACTGCAATATTGCCTGTTAGAATGAGCTGTTTTGGCCAGTGCAGGCCAATGACAGCTCAAATAAGGCAAACCTCTCCCATAGGTGCTTTGTCATGTTTCGGGAAACTCTGGGGGAACTCCAGAACAATCTCCAAGAAACTTCCAAACCCAGCTAAGTTGTTATACAGAGGCTTCATAAAGTATTCTCTTTCCACTTGCTAGTTTTTTATCATCTTGAAGATTTAAGTTCATGATGTGAAGGGAAAAATTTCCTCCCACTTCAATGGGAAATTAAATTGCCAATGTTACCAACTGCAATATTGCCTGTTAACTGAAACAGGCACTTCCTGGCTCTAAAGCAGGCACTTCACATCCAAGTTCTCTATCTCCATTATAAATAAAAGCCGAATGGTGGTGGTGGCACTTCTCTAGAACATTACACACACTCCAAAAGTTTGTTGTTCTCTGATCTGTCATTCAGAGGGTCTCCCTATCCACTGGCTGCTTTGCCTGAGTCCTGCCTCCAACATTCTAAACAGTTTGCTCTTCCTCTTCCCCCCCATAGCCAGTCAGAACACAGAGGTTATTTGCATATGCAGCCTCATTGGCCTTTGCCTCAGAACACAGAGGTTGTTTGCATATGCGACTTGATTGGCTGTTCTGAGGTAAAATGTGTCCAATCTCCAGGTAAGGGCTGGAGATCACTCAGAATTACAACTGCTTTCCAGATGGCAGAGATCAGTTCCCCTGGAGAAAATGGTGGGCTCTGTATCCTTATATGCTGCTGAGGTGGCCCCCATATGACAGCCAATGTAACATAGCAGTCAGGGCTTCAGAGCACGGGAGAGGCTGCAGGTGTGTGGGGGGTGGAAAGCTGAAGAGTGAGGGGGAAATAAAGGTAAGTTGATGATTGGCTGGGAAGGAGATAGGGTTGCCAACTCCAGGTGGGAAATTCCTGGAGATGTGAGGGATGGAGCCTGGAGAGGGTGAGGTTTCAGGAGGAGTGGGAACTTGGATAGGTACAAAGCTATAGACTCCACCCTCCAGACCAACTATTCCCTTCTGGGCAACCATCATTGCCAATCTCCAGGTGAGGGCTGGAGATCACTCAAAATTATAACTGTTCTTTAGGTAGCAGAGATCAGTTCCTCTGGAGAAAATGGTGGACTCAGTGTCATTATACCCTGCCGAGGTCGCCACAGCAAATTGACACTGAGTGTCCAAGGCCGGGGCACCTGCCCAGAGCCTCTTTCTAGAGGTCGTTGTATTTATTTCCACAACGGACCTTTTTCCTAGTATACAATGTATCTTAAATATCCAGCATATCATTACAGACAGTTCTAACTCTCCCCTCATGAAATGTAGTAGTTAATGACCTTATAATACTTTGCCAATTACTGTACTATAGCCATTGTGTAATAACTTTACCAAAGTCATCTCCAAAATTTTAAAACTGTATTTGATTAGAAGGTGAGTCATTTTAGTCTAGACATACCTGAGCAGATGACACTGGCATCCTCATAATGATGACAGTTATGTGTGCCCCAAGGTGCATGAGGGCACTGAGACAAGGTAGATTCATGTCCCCTGCACCTAACATCATCCAAAATAATTTTGCTGGTGCCTTGACCAAAACGGGCATTTCCAGGTGCTGATTGTGCCCGTCCACATCCAAGCTGTTGGCATACCACTTGTGCAGCCTTCATGTCCCAGTCATCATCACAGACTGTTCCCCATGTGCCATTATGGTATACTTCAACACGACCCTCACATCTGTTGGTTCCATTGACTAGTCTCAAGGAAGCTGCATCAGGAATATTTTTTTTAAAACACAATGATACTTCATTTTGTTGAAATGGTCAAGATAAGGCTCATTGAACTTGAATACTGATGCTAAATCATTCCTGTGATGGTATTAAAGTTAGATTCAACAGTTCATATAAAGTTAATTTCAAAGTGAAGTTTTGGTGGGTTATGTGGATCATCTCTTTAATAATCCTCCAAATTATTTTGAATTTTAAAAATTGGCAAACTAAAAGGTATCTGTCTAAGGATACATTAAAGTTTCAAACCAATGAGCTAAAACTTATAAATATGTGTCAAACTGTTCAAAAAGAACACAGAGGTTCTGTACTACTTCTGGGTCTACAGATAAGATTAGCAGAATGAGGAATGGTTAATAACAACTTTGATAAGATTAGCAGAATGAGGAATGGTTAATAACAACTTTAATATGAAGATCATCTAAAAGAACCTGCATAGCAGTATGTAACAGAACAGTCTCCTAACCAGAGATACACTCTTCTAAATCCACTGAAGCCAAAGGGCATAGAAAAGAGTAATTCTGGTTAGGATTGCACTATAATCCTTATTTTAGAACTAAACTCATATATTCTTTGGACATGTTCTTATACTATCAGTTCCCTAACAGTATTGAATACAAGGGAATGTCTCTATATTGTAAAATCGGTCATCACAGATTCCAAAATGTTACCATTCATGATCACTAGTACTTCATACTGTATTAAAATTAAAGTTTAGAAGTATAAATGATAAACACAGTGAAATTTTTATAACAGATTCCCATCAGAATCTATGCGTAAAAAGGTGGACATTGCAGTTGATATTTTATTTATATGCTCCATACTAATTTCCAAGACACCACTTCAAAGTAGGAATAGGCACGAATTGGTTCATGAGCCAAAATTTGCATCAAACTTGGGCCAGTTTGGAGCTCAGGAACCCATCTTTTTGGAAGGTGCATTCCCTGAACATTTACCAGACTTTTGGCCAGTTCCGTGTGGCTGTTCGGGGCCAGCCATTTAAACCTAACAGTGGAGCAGGGTCTGCCAATCCACTGTTAGATTTAAATGGATAGCAGCCATTTAACTCTAACCAGGCAATCCCCGCTCCCATTCTCCCAGCAGTGGCAAGGGGGAAAGAAAGTCCTTTCCTGGGTGATTCCCCCCTTTCTCCTGGCCATGGTGAGCCACCTCTGGGAGAAAGGTGGAAGGGAAGTCCATTCCTGGATGATCCCCACCCCCTTTCTCCTGACCATGGCAAGCTGCAGTTGGGAGAAACAGGGAACTGAACTTCCCAGACCGGTTCAGTTTGGGTTTGGGCCTGTTTGACTTTGTTTGGTTCGGGGGCTGCCCGAACCCCAAACTAAACCACCTCTTTTAGGTTCGTGCCCATCCCTACTTCAAAGACTCAGCTGTGGCATTTGATGCAAATTAAAATTGTAACTTGCAGTATGTATTTGCTTTTGTTCTTCTTTAATAATCTCCTTGAAGAGAGCTATAAAAATTAAAAATATAATATTTATTTATTTGGATTTGTATCCCACCCTCCCCACAAATGGGCTCAGGGCGGGCAACAACAATATAAAATAGAATATGAAACATTATTTAAAACCAAATAAAAACAACAGTATACAATGCTATACTCCTAAGTACCATGTCAGCTCAGATAGAAGCATATCAGCAGTGGTGAAAGAGCTGAGATGTCAGGGTCCAGGCTACTGGTGGGGTTGGCCACAAAAAGGGGCACCCGCTGCCTCTACCAAAAGCCTGGTGGAAGAGCTCCATCTTACAGGTCCTGCAGAATTGTAGTAAATCCCGCAGGGCCCTGATCTCACTCGGGAACTCATTTCACCAAGTATGGGGCCAGGGCTGAAAAGGCCCTGGCTTGAGGCAAGTTGGATGACCATGGGGCCAGGGACAACCAAAATATGTTGATTAGTTGACCTTAGTGATCTCTGGGGCTCATATGGGGAGAGGCAGTCTTGAAGGTATGCTGTCCCCCAGCTGTATAGGGCTTTAAAGTAGGGTTGCCAAGTCCTTACCTGGTCTGGAGTGGGGGAGTCCAGGCTCGGTCTGGGAGCCCTTGTGCGCGCGTGCCGCAGGCACATCACACGGAAGTGACGTAAGCACATCGGGATGTTGGGGGTGGGGCCACAATAATCAGAGAGAAAACCATAGAGTTTCCCCTCTGATTATTGTGGCCCCACCCCCAACGTCCCCGACGTGCTTGCGTCACTTCTGTGTGACGTGCTTTGGGGGTGGGATTCCCCCCGGGGCCCAATCTGGCGATGCCGAGGAACGGGCCTCCCGGGCGGGGGTTTCCCCGCCCCCCCTGGGGGACTTGGCAGCCCTACTTTAAAGTAAGTACCAACACCTTGAAACAGATCCAGTCTGGAAGTGATCATTGCATGGATCACTGTTTCTAGGTCCTGGGGAGTGAGATATGGGGCCAACTGCCTGACCTGCCTCAGATGGAAAAAGGCAGACCTGGCAGTGGTGGTGACCTGGGCCTCCATAGAGAGGGAGGAATCCAGGAGTACCCCCAGGCTCCTTACTCTTGATGTTGGGACCAATGGGGCCCCGTCAAAGGCTGGGAGCCTGATTCCTTGTCCCAATCCCCTGCAGCCCAGGTACAGGACCTCCGTGTTAGCTGGTTTCAAGTTACAAGGGAAATTAGTGTGGTGTAGGCATACCTGAGCAGATGACACCAGCATCTTCATAATGACTACAGTCATGTGTGCCCCAAGGTGCGTGAAGGCACTGAGACAAGGACGATTCATTTCCCTTGCACTGAACATCATCCAAGGTTATATGGCCTGAACCTTGACCAAAATGGGCTATTCCAGGCGCTGATTGTGCTGGTCCACATCGAAGCTCTTTGCACACAACCTGCGCATTGGTAATACTCCAGTGATCATCACAGACTGTTCCCCATCTGCCTTCATGATAGACTTCAACACGACCTTGGCATCTGTTGGCTCCATTAGCTAGTCGCACTAGTGGGGGAGGTTCTTTGGCAAATGCAAACACAGAAAATGTTTTTTTTTTTTTTTTAAAAAAAGCATGATTCCTCATTTTATCAAAGTTGCCTGGTCAATGTATAAAAACTTGTATTTGTTTTTATCCTTGTCAGCATAAAATTAAATTTGAAACCAGTTTCTAGCAGTACTATTGCTACAGCTGACATCAACATTTCACCCACAATTGACCAGTTTGAATCTGGGTAGTCCCAGAAATACTAACTGGACCAAAGTAATGATGAATCACTTAAAAATATATTAGCCATGATAAAGTTTTCTGTATGCAGCTAGACAGATGGATAACAAATTTGGCAGTTTGAGATAAACTCATGTGGCACTTATTAGCTGAGATGGTGGATATTGTGAGACACCCATCCTTAATGCTCCTGTTACAGATACCTAGCTCTCATAACTCTCAGGAGGGGGGTTAGTATTGTTATTTGTTATTTTATGTGAAAGATAAAGTGTTAATGAAAGATAACAAACCATAATCAATCAGCTCTGTTTTATCTTTTACGCTCCTGGTATAATTGAATGACCTGACAAGTTACAAAGCATTGATATCCCTTTGGACGTGAGTACTATAAACTACTTCTCATTCAGCTGAGTAAATTAATGGACTACTGCTAATTAAAGCAAGATTCTTACCTTCACCTGAGGAAAGACTGCTGACTAGCTTGATCAGTTTGAACAGCCTGATCAGCTTGAACAGATTGAATTGAATTGTTTATAACTGTTTATAACCCTTACCTGGTAAAGCACTAATCCTTTTCACAATGGGGAGGAAGAAGCAAGCAACAGATCATTCAGATCATAACTCCTCATTTGCTATTGCCAAACAACTGCCTAAAGATGACTTTTTATAGTCAAATGATTTTATTTTATTTCATTAAATTTATGAATTGCCCACCCTGCAAGCAGGCTCTGGGTGATTTACAGCCATTGAAAAAAATGGAAATGTTAATTCAATTAATTTGATTAACCACACTTTTTATGCTCTTCCTGTTTCAAATAAGAATGTCTCCTGTGGAAAGCCAGGAATGGAGTCTGCAATCCCCACATTAGATGGAAGCCTTTTGATTTTGAATGGCCACCTTACAAATTCACAGGTGCTGCCTACAGAGACAAACTTTGGAAATTTGGGGTACTTAGAATCAAACTCTGTGAATTATCAAGGAACCCGGAGAACCCAGGGGATTAAATCAAGCACAAGTGCAAACTTGCCAACATCGCACCATGGTTGTGAGAGTTCAGGTCGAGAAATACGGCCGAGTTCAGACTGGCAATTTGAAGCACTAGGGAGTCATGGCAAAGAAGACCCGGAACAGACCTGGAATGGCTTGGTTGTGGTATTCCCGTTCACACTGCAGCAAATGAAGCGGGAATATACCGTGGAGGAAGCGTAAGGGAGCATTCACACTGTTGGCCCGCACCTGGCAGGCTGTTAGCGGCTGTTTCTGTGCTCCGCTACATGCACCTGGGCGCATGGGCACCTGGGCACCTGCCGTGGAAATAGCCAGCGCCTATTATCAATGACTGCAGGTTGTTCCCGCCTTAGCAGCGCTTGCAAGCAGCGCTTGCATTGACACGTCAGGGAACCAGAATCAACCTGCTCTACACATGGTTTGCTACCACTTTTACCTGGTACTTTTTAAACTCGGGAGGGAAGCGGCACAAGACAGCTTGAGTATGGCTGGGGGACGCCTGACAGATGTGCCTGTGTGAACCCGCCCCTTTAATCCGCTACTGAAAAGTTCCTGAAATGTTTGGCTGCCGGGCCAAACTGCCAGTCTGAACTTGGCCTACAAGTCTCACAAAAGGAATTCATAGGTGACAATTGCGTTCTCACAGGGGAAACTGTGATAGCCATTTTCCAGCAACTGAATTACATTTCTAGCATACTGGATTCTCTCAGATGTGACTTCTCTGCCCTCTTTCAAAAGCTTTCTTCTCTACCACATTGTCCATCTGTAAGTACATAAAGCCCTAATGCAAAAGATGCATGTGACAGCTGAGCTCCAGTGGATCTGACCTCCAAAAAAGTGACAGTGTCCAGTACAAGCACTGGGTGTGAGAGTGCAACTATTAAAAAAAGCTTGCTTCAGCGGGGAGGGCTAGCTAGCTAGCATAACTTCTACCGTGTGACCAAAATCAGATGACCTCCTTGACCAAATGATTCATTTCAGCTCAGTAAGTTTGACTTCATCACTACATGATTTTCTAGAAATGCTGGATGCTGAAATCTTTCATGCACAACTGCAAGATTGCTCTCTGGATGTTAATTTGGTGTGATCACCATTCCTGCAGATTGCATAATAAGAACTGAGTCACCTAAGTAAACTGTCCTTGGCACTGAACAGTCCTCAACTGATCCTAAACCCAGAAACCCCATAGCTATGACTAGCAATAAATTCGGTCCAAGTGGAATCATGAGGACACCCATGTAGACTACTTTAGTCAACTAGGCTCTGTGGATCCTCCTTGACTCTAGTGGGCACCTGTACAGATTAATTTAGGTTGATTGTTTAAGTGAAATCCATAGTGATTCCATTCTTTAAAAATTGTCTTGGAACATTGCTGGATGGAAGAGGAAAGTGGGTGATCTTGATTTTATGACCTTTTAGAGTGACTTCAATATGGGGATGAACCCAACAGGTCACTTCCTAGCAAATTTTATTATGTCTACTGGCAGATAGATCTTGAACAGATCTCTCTCTCATGACTGTCCAGGTGAATTTACTTTTAGTTCATCACATGGCTCCAGCTTGATTATGTCATCATATCACCCTACTTCAGAAGGCTAGTCAGGGATTTATATGTGGATGATCACATCCAGACCTACCTCTTTCCATTGAATATGACTGCTCTTGAACATCGCCATCTATGAACAACACATCCAAGAACCTATCTTCCTAAAAAAAAGGTTGTCTGAATTTAAAAGATGGATGGGAAGATCACTAAGGTACTTGAGTCCAGAACCAATCTGAACCAACAATTAATTAACACCCAGAATGTATCTGAGGCACTTGGTTGCTTTGGGGAACTTATTAGTATAATTAAAACTGTCTTTGCCTGGCAATCTATGGCCCACAGACATAAATACCCAAGAAATAGATTCTTGATTTGAAAGTGACTGCTGGAAACTGAAAACCTAACTTTGGACAGTCTTTCATTTTCATCATGACACAGATGTAATTTCACTACCTGCCAGCTATTTTGAACTAAAAAACCAACTTCAGCACACTGTCATTCTCAAGAAAAGATCACTGACTAATTAAAAAAGGGCTCTCCTAATCAATGCTTCACTAATGAATAATAATAAACAGTTTTGGGCTCTAGTCAGTAAGCACTTTGGATCACTGAAACATCATCCAAGAATTCCCTGAATGGCCCTCTGTCACTCCAAAGGAAATTAAATCTCTAATCTGTAAACTACGAAATGGAAAAGCCTCAGGCCCTGATGGTCTTCCCCCTGAATTATTTAAGGAACATTTGGAATGGTGGGCCTCTCCTTTAGCTACCCTCTTTACTCTCACTGACAAAACTGGAAGGATACCTGAATCCTGGACTGAGACTGTAGTGGTCCCAATTTTTTTTAAAGGTGACCTTAAAAATCCTGGGAATTATGAAGAGCAGTTGCAGCACAGCGAGATAGATGGAGCCAGGACTTGCTCCCAGGCACTGCCAGCTTCTCGCTATCTTTAGAGGAGACTCGGGGACTCCCGAGCTCCGCTGCAGTCCCTGGAGGGGGGTGCAGTGCAAGAAACACAATCCAGGCCCCCTGCCTGTGGCAACAAGTGAGTGGAAGCCCGTGGATTGTCCCTAGCAAGAAACGAAGAAGATCACTCATGGCAGCCATGAGTGCCTAGCTGTCGCTACCCACTAAGAGGAACTTAAAAGTCTGGCACCTCATCCACAACATCGATGAAGCATATCACCGTGAGTATCACTTAAAGCAACATTACCTGAAAAACGAGTATACAATGTCAGCCCCTTTAAAGTTTAAAAAGACTGGCAGGGAGGGGTGAAGAACTTTTTTCCGCCCCCCCACCTTTACCGTGGCTAAAAAAAGGATTGAAAAAAATGTATAAATAATCTGCTGGGTGAAGAAAACAAGAGAACATTCTGTCTAAATTGATATCTTTAAGAATTATTATCCTTTCTACAATTCTGAACTTTAGTGAGAGCCAAATCAATCTTCTTGCCTCTTTTATGAAGACTTTGGAAGAAATACTGAATTTAGGGATCTGTTATAATTTAATTATAAATTAAATTATAATAAATTAA